GCTTGGTTTCTTTAAAGAAGAAAGTGAGTTTCAGGTTATAAAAAAACTGCCATGCAGCTTCCAGCAATGGATTCCTTCTGCTGCTTAGAATCTATCACCTGAGGGTACGCAATTAGGTTTTATTTAATTTATATAGATCTATAAATGTATAATAATTGGTTGTGTTCTTATTTCAGGTTTTTAAAATGTCTATAGAGGTAACAAAACGTCTTTCACCATATACCTCATGTACGCTTACAGATTAAAGGTGCTTTTATGGCCCTGACTCTTTCTGATGTCATTGTATTGTTTAACTTTTATCTCTGCCCCCTCAGTCACATCATGGGCCTGGTTCACTATAGCGCAGTGGTTCTCAACCTCTCTAGGGCCGGGACCCCTTGGTAACATTTGCCAAGTTGTGGTGACCCCCAACGGTAACATTTAGGGATGGCGTGGCTGCTGCAGTGACATCTGGTGGCGTGGCGGGAGAACTGACACTGCTGCGCTAGGAGAGGGCTGAGGAGGACTCTCACCTAGCAAAGGAGAAATCACACAGCGACCCACAGCTTGAGAACCACTGTTATAGGCAAAGACAGGACCGTGCTCTGCAGCTGGAACTAGAAGAATTGGATTTAAAGTGTATGGCTATTTAACGTATGAGGTAGATAATCCACAGTACTGTCCAGGGGTGTGGAAATTTTTGAAAAAACTACTTGTCTAAGGACTAAAGCGGGGGCCGAATCTACTTGTCCCTCATGACAATCTACTTGTCCTGATACAAAAAAAGTAATTTTAACCAAAACCGTATTTAGCAGTGCTAAGAAACGCTTCTCATTGGTCAGTGCTGTCAGATGACTGCGTTGACCAACGAGTGCTTGCAATTTGCGAGCGAAATTCAGAATACATGGAACAGGTACAGATAGTACACCCGTACTGGTGGACGGGAAGGATCGTTTGCCGAAAGGTAAGTATAGTGGCAGGGAGATTTGTGCGGGTAATTCCATTTCCCCAAATTACTTGGGAAAGTGAATTTACCCTTTAGGGTTGGTGCAGACTTGGGGATTCCCAGGACGTGCAAACGTGTGTGGTTGCATACAACGGTTGCACCGCGCAGTGTTTTCAACCGTGATTGCCCGCGGCGTTATTGCAGCAGGAAAACGCACAATCTGCTTGGTACGGCTGGGGTGCCATTAGAAAATAATGGCACTGGCAGCACGATCGGCGGTGGTGTGCGATTCCGTGACCACCCAGCCATCCGCTCGGTTTCGTGCACGATGACCGGGCAGTCACGGATCGCACACCACTGCCGATTGCGCTGGCAGTGCCATTATTTTCTAATGACACCCCAGTCATGCCAGGCAGATTGCGCGTTTTCCTGCTGCAATACCGCCCTGCCCGTTCTGTTGCACACGATTGCAGTTGAAAACACTGCGCGTTTATTCGCGTGCAGTGGGGCTGGTTTTAATTTTTTCTATTTTTATTTACGTGCTAGAACTCCTGTGACAGGAACGAGCAGCGGCCGCCGGGGACAGAGACTGGGGGAGGTGACAGCCTGTCACAGCTCCACCATCCGGCTCCGTCACGGCTCCACGCCCTCTGCTCCGTCGGCGCACCACGCCCCCCGCGCCGCTCTCGGCGCTCAAAGAAAACCAGCCCTGCCACTTGTTCGTGCAAAAACCACTTGCCCGGCGCCCCGGAACTAAATGGCTCGGGCGATACGAATTCCACATCCCTGCTGTCACTAACAGAGCAGCCCATAGAGTTCAGTATAAACCGTGAGAGTTACCCCTGATAAGATATACTTACTTCCCCTTCTCCAGTCTTCTCCTCCATTCACACTCTACTATGCTGGAGGACCTTGTGGTGTGTCACAGTCATGTGACCAGCTCCTGGGGTGGACGCAGCCGGCTGTGCAAAGGAACACCATACATATATATATAATTTCATTTTTTCAAGAACTCTGGATTTTATTAAAATCTACCCTTGCAGTGAGACACCCCTCTGCTCTGCAAGGATTAAGTGCTCATTTTGTCTAGGGGGTGTAAATGAAGAAGATATGCTCAGACCCTTCTGGTCACACACCTATAGATTATCTGCAGATTTTCTATAGTCAGATGGGAAAAAGTGCAACAGATTCCTCCATCTACGCTAAACTATGTGGATGGAGGAATCTCCCACTGGCCCAAGCTTCAGTATCTTGCTAGTCGGCCTCGCTGGCTCTCAAATCACCTTAACAATCTGATTGGATGCCGGCATTTTGAGAGCCAGCGAGGCCGACTAGCAAGATACTGAAGCTTGGCCCAGCGGGAGATTCCTCCATCCGCGCAGTTTAGCGTAGATGGAGGAATCTGTTGCACTTTTTCCATCTGACCATAGAACATCTGCAGATAATCTATAGGTGTGTGACCAGCTATAGGAGTAGGCTTTGAACCCACGCCTCCTGCTATGACTTAGCTTGTTGAGCTTTCCCA